AGTGAATTGGGGACCCGTGTAGAGCTCAGCACAGCCTTTCATCCGCAGACCGATGGGCAGTCATCGCGGACAATTCAGATTTTGGAGGATATGCTCAGGGCATGTGTGATTGAATTTGGAGGTCAGTGGGATCGTTTCTTGCCGTTGGCCGAGTTTGCTTATAATAACAGTTACCAATCCAGCATCGAGATGGCTCCAGTTGAGGCTTTATATGGTCGGCGATGTCGTTCGCCCATCGGTTGGTTTGAGCCCGGTGAGGCTAAGTTATATGGTACTGATTTGATGAAGGATGCCTTGGGAAAGGTAAAGTTGATTCAGGAGCGATTTTGTACATCGCAGTCCAGATAGAAGAGTTACGCAGGTCAGAAAGCGCGTGATTTATCCTTTATGATGGGTGAAAAAGTTCTCTTGAAGGTTTCGCCGATGAAGGGAATCATGAGATTCGGGAAGAAGGGCAAGTTGAGCCCAAGGTTTATAGGCCCATTTGAGGTGTTAAGATGAGTTGGGGAGGTTGCTTATGAGCTTGCATTGCCTCCCAGTCTATCAGGAGTTCATCCGGTTTTTCATGTATCTATACTCCGGAAATATCATGCCGATCTGTCACATGTGTTGGACTTCAGCACAGTTCAACTAGATAATAGTTTGGGCTATGAAGAAGAACCAATTTCCATTGTTGATAAACAGGTTCGCCAGTTGAGGTCCAAGAGGACTTTTGTAATAAAAGTCCAGTGGAAGGGCCAACCAGTCGAGGAAGCGACTTGGGAGGCCGAGAAAAATATACGGAGCAGATATCCACACTTATTCGGCACTCCGGGTACAATTCTAAACTCATTCGAGGACGAACATTTGTTTAAGAGGTGGAGAATATAATGACCCAACCGGTCATTTTGACTTTTAGAACCCTGTTCTCTAAAATAAAACTTTTTGTATGTGCTTTTAATGATTTATGACTTGCGGGTATGGTTGATTCGAAATTTGGAAGTGTTTGGGTTGAAATCGGAACACTTGGTTCCTTAAGTTGGCTTTAAAAGGCCAAGTTTGACTTCGGTCAACATTTTGAAAAAATGACCCCGGAATAGAATTTTGACGATTCCAACAGCTCCGTATGGTGATTTTGGACTTAGGAGCGTGTTCGAAATTTTATTTGGAAGTCCATAGTTAAATTAGGCTTGAAATGGCTAAAATAAGAATTTAAGTTTGGAAGTTTGACCGGGAAATTGATTTTTTGATATCGGGGTCGGAATCTAGGTCCAAAATTTTTTATAGCTTTGTTATATCATTTTTGACTTGTGTGCAAAATTTGAGGTCAATCAGACTTGATTTGATAGGTTTCGACATCGAATGTAGAAGTTGGAAATTTTAAGTTTCATTAAACTTGAATTGGAGCATAATTCGTGGTTTTAGTGTCGTTTTATGTGATTTGAGGTTTAAAATAAGTTTGTATGATGTTTTAGGACTTGTTGGTATATTTGGTTGAGGTCCCGAGGGCCTCGAGTGAGTTTCGGATGGTTAATGGATCAAAAGTTGGACTTAAAACAGCTGCTGCAATTTTTCCTTTGTGCTGGAAATTCTAGGCCAAGATCGAGCCCAAGATAGAGACCCACGATCGAGGCCATGATCGAATCCACGGTCGAGACCAAGGATCGAGGCCATGATCGAAGCCACGATCGAGGCCATGATCGAGGCCGAGGATCGAGGCCATGATCTAGGCCGAGGATCGAGGCCATTATCAAACCACGATCGAGGCCGAGGATCGAGGTCATGATCGAGGGTTGCCTGGGCAGAATTATAAAAGAGGGCATTCGTCTCATTCGTCATTTTTAACAAATTGGAGCTTGAGCAGAGGCGATTTTTGATAGTTTTTCAAGGAAAAGACATTGGGGTAAGTGATTCTAACTCGGATTTGATCAATATACACGAATATATCATTATTTTCACCATTTAATTAGTGTTTTGAGATTGAAATTTGGAAAAAATTTAGAAATCTCATAAAAACGAATTTTTGAGATATCGGTATCGATTCGGAGTCGGATTTGAGTGAAACTGGTATGGTTGGACTCGTAATTGAATGAGTTGTCGGATTTCGTAACTTTCGCCAGATTTNTTCTGTATAAATTAATTAATTATTAAACAGAATTTGTTCATCCTCCCGAATTTATCTTATAATGAATATACTCTCTTTCCGGAGGTACATAAGAAAAATATCCTCTTTTTTTGTGGAGCGGGCCGAACGCCTCGGCAGAATAGATGCATCTATGGATCGTGTCGCACGTCACTCGGCAGTACACACGACACTCTGGATCGGGCTGTACGACCTCGGCAGAAATCGTGCTTAATAATAATAATAATTACACGATACTTGTACAGTTTATTGCAGCTTGTAAAGCTATTTGATAAATTGGAAATTTATTGAAATTGAATTGCAGCTTGTAAAGTTATTTGATATATTTGAAATTTTATTGAAATTGAAGGATTTAATTAATAGATTGGAAATTATTGCATTTGAAGGATTTTTATTATTACTGCTAATTGAATAAAATTATTGTTAACTCTGTAAATCATGCTGATTTGAATAATTATAATTTTTTTTTTATTATTGTTGACCCTTAGTGAGTGTCAAAATCGGTCATCTCGTCTCTACCACTTCGAGATTAGGCTTGATACTTACTGGGTACATGTTGTTTACGTACTCATGCTACACTTGCTGTA